TTGGGTTTCATGAACCCAGGTCTTGGGTTCCTCATGTTGCTGGGTTCTGCGAGGAACCCAGATTTGGGTTTCATGAACCCAGGTCTTGGGTTCCTTATGGAACCCCCTTGCTGGGTTCGCGGAGGAAGAAGGGTGAGAAAAAGGAAGGGGCAGAGGGATAAGAGAGAAGAAGGGAGGAAGAAGAAAAAGAATATAATAATAATAAATTATTTGAGTTTTTATTTAAATATGAAAAAAATATCACATGAAAAAAGAAAAATGCCATCAAGTTGGTTTTAGTCCACATCATCAATTTTTTCCATGTGGCATGACGTGTAATAACACGTCAACAATGAAAAAGAAAAAAGACAAAATATTTAACAGATTATAGTGCCACTCTGTCACTTAACTGACGAAAGGACCAAAAATGGGCCGGATTTTGAAATTTAGGGACTAAAAAGGGGATTTTTTCGGTACAGGGATCAAAAAGGGGATTTTTCCTATAGTAGAGGGACCAAAAAAGGTATTTAACCTAAATCGATTTGCGAAGCCGGCAAACATTTGAGGGATGAGTCTGATCAATAAAGCCGGCAGGTTGCTGCATATAGAGCTCTTCATCAAGTTCACCATGTAAAAAGGCATTATTCACATCCAATTGCTTAAGAGGCCACTGGCGACTAACTGCAAGAGAGAGAACAGTCCGGATTGTAGTGGGTTTAATAACAGGACTGAAGGTGTTGAGATAATCCGAACCTGGCTGTTGATGAAACCCCTTGGCAACTAAACGTGCTTTGTAGCGTGTAATGGACCCATCTTTACCCCGTTTTATCCGAATGATCCACTTGCAGCCAAGAACATGTTGATCCGGGTGAGAGGGTAGCAGCTCCCACGTCCCTTGGCGAATCAACGCATTGAACTCCTCAGACATGGCCCGTCTCCAATGGGAATCTTTGATTGCTTGAGACACATAAGTGGGTTCAGGTGAAGGGAGTGGGGAGGCCATGGTTGCATGATGTAAGGTCTTTGGTTTAAAGATGTTGTTTTGAGAACGGGTGACCATGGGATGAGTCCGTATAGGTGGGGGAGGCGATGGTGGTGAGAGGTTATGAGAAGTAGCGTGGTTGGTGGATGCAAGAGGAGAGGAGTCCAATTCAGCTATGGTGGGGGTGACGGTAGGGGTGGAGGTTGGACAGGGGCTTTGAGTGGGAGAACGAGGTGTGGAGGTAGGAGCCGACGGAGAGACTGGTGAGTGAGGAACGGCTGGTTTGGTGGACACGGGGACTACCGCATGATGGGGAACTGGAGCACAAGGAGGCAACATTGAGCGACCAACAGCCGGGCGGTGGCAAACCATGTCAATGGGAACTGGCTGTGCAGAGAAGTCATGAGGAAAGGAGGAATTAGAAAAGCTATGGGTGGTGGAATTGGAGAGAGAGTTTTGTAGAGTAGGAGTATGATAGGGAAATTGGTTTTCATTGAAAATGACAGCCGTGAATAAAAAAACTTTCTAGAATGAATGTCAAAACATTTGTAACTCAAGTTATCCGGGGAATAGCCCAAAAAATACAAGGACGAGAGCGAGGTTGTAGTTTATTATTATTATATGAACGGAGCCATGGAAAACAAGAGCAACCAAAAATGCGCAACTTTAGGTAATTTGGTTTGACTTTAAATAATTTTTCTAAGGGAGATATAGAGGACAAGGTCACTGTAGGCAACCTATTAATTAGGTAGACAGCAGTTTGGAAGGCAAAGGACCAAAACTTGGAGGGCAAGGAGGCAGTGTGGAGTAAAGTGAGGCCTGTTTCGACAATGTGTCGATTTCTACGCTCACTAATACCATTGAGTTCAGGAGTATAAGGTGGTGTGGTAATATGGGAAATACCATTTTTAGAAAGAAAAGCACGAAGTGCAATGTACTCGCCCTCACCATCGGAATGAAAATTTTTAATTGAAGAACCAAATTGATTTTCAACAAGAGATTTAAATTTTCGAAAAATTATTGAAACATCAGATTTGTATTTTATGAAAAAAATCCAAATGTAGCAATTAAAATGGTTGATAAACAAGACAAAATAATGAAAGCCATCAATTGAGACGGTTGGGGCTGGACCCCAAACATCCGAATAGATGTGTTCTAGTAGAGCATGACTTGTGATAGATGAATGAGAAAAGGGTAACTTATGACTCTTAGAGCACGCACAAGATTCATATAAAGAAAAGTCCATTTTATTAGAAATAGGCAATTTAAAAACACGGGATATCGATTTTATGGTCTTGGTATTAGGATGACCTAAGCGTGCATGCCAGTTCGCCAAAGAGACACGTTCACCAACCAGAGCCATAGGCTTAGTTTTGCTTGGGAGTTGATAAACTCCATGTATTTGGACCGCGCAACATTGTCGCCCCCGTGCTTCGATCCTTCACCAAAAAGTAATCAGGGTGAAATTCGACAATGGCATTAGTATGTTTACATAATTGAGAAACAGAGATTAAGTTCTTAGAGGCAGAGGGAACACATAAAACATTACGTAAAGAAAAAGAGATTGAAGAGGTAGGTAATGTGGTATCTCCCACATGTGTGATTTGCAAACCTGCTCCATCCTCAATTTGAAGTTCATCAAGGCCAAGATATTCAGAGTGCAAGGCGAGATTGGCAAGGTCCGTGGTCACATGGTGAGTTGCACCAGAGTCGATGAGCCAAGCCTCAGAAGCAATGTTGGGAGAGGATGCAAAGTTGGCATGCGGAGGGTGTTGTTGAACCCGGTAAAATGGACAATTGTGGGCAAAATGGCCTAAATTCTGGCACAATTGACAGGCTTGAGCAGTAGGCCGATTGTTGGGCCGGCCAAAAGATCCACGCCGTCGATTCCCGAAGAAGGTTCTATTGGAGGACAGGGGTCCTCGATAGTTCCGATGTGGTGGAGGGAAGAACTGACCATGGTGAGGTGTGGGCAACAGTCCAGCAGAGGTCACGACGGAGGAAGAGGGTGTTGTGGCTGCTCTAGCAAGGTGGGCAGTGAGAGGAGTGGATTCCAGTTTAGTATCTTCCCATCGGAGACTTTCTTCATGAGCCACCAACCGATCATGGAGATCATCAAAAGACAGAGAGGTGTCACGCGTTCGAAGAGATGCTGCAATCTCTCGAAATTCTGGACCTAGGCCTTTCAAAATATAGACTGTTAGATCATCATCAAAAAGGGGTCGATCAATCGTACCTAATTCGTCTGCCATCGCTTTTAGAGTGCGGAGATATTCAAAGACAGATCTTCCATCACGGCGCATGTTTTGAAGTCGCTCCTTCAGTGTGATCACTCAAGCACGCGATCGGTTTGCATAGAAGTTGGCTAGCGTTTCCCATGCATGTTGAGCAGTGGGTGCCGCAGCAATGTAGGGTGTGATGTTCTCTGAAACCAAAGTGATGAGTGCATGGTGTAAGAGTTGATCTTGCCGAGCCCAGGGAGCATAGGTGGGTTCCGTAGCCACAGGACACTGATTTGAGCCATCCAGAAAGCCAAGTAAGTCATAACCTGCAATAAGGCACGTGAATTGCGTCTTCCAGGAGGGATAATTGGTGGGGGTTAGCTTAAGAGGAAACGCAGCGGAGTTGAAGGATATGGGTCCTCTAGCAACATGGTTGAGGTCTATGGCTGCAGAGTTCGGGTTGCTGGTATTAGGAGTATGGGTTGGAGAGTTCGCACCAGAAGAGGAGGTGCTGTCGCAGGTTCCAAAGGTTTTGGCCATTGGTAAGACAAAGGAGACTCGTTAGAGGTTTTGGCTCTGATACCACTATTGAAATAAAGTGTATGAAGAACTTGTTTATTTACGAATATATCAAGAGTATATATACAGTTGGAGCCTGTGTGTTACCCTACCACATAAGGCAAGTGAATCACAATCTTGGATATTATACAGACAATGAATGTAAGCTTAAACAGAATATTAATATGCTATGATACAGATTTGGTTTCCTTAACACCCAAGCCCCCTTAGCACATGCTTTTCACCAGAAAAATAACGGTGCCTCAAGCTCACTAGATTGATCATATTATCAGGCATCTGTTGAATAGAAAAGAGCCGATTTGGTTTAAGAGTTCGCAAATGGTAGAGCTTGGAAAAAGATCCTGGTAGTGCTTTAATTTTGCTATTCGAGATGTCAAGGTATCTCAAATGCTTTAGTTCACCAAAAGTAAGACACAACTCTTCCTTCTTAGCTTGCATTAGTTTTAAAGATCGCAAACTTTTGAAATCAGATGCCACGTTACTAACCTCATTTTCTATGAACAAAGAACGCAACCTTTGACAAAGATCAGTTGGAATGTACACAGGGCCACTCCCATCATGCTCGACTCTCAAATGTAGAATAGTAGCATTTTTGTCAATCTTGCAACCAGACTTCCAGATTAAAGTTTCATCTTTTGAAACAGCCAATGCCAAATCATGCACTACACCATGCATCTGGCAAGATATGATATCTCCATATTCATTCCTTTCCACAACTTGAAATAAGGAATTAGATACCAAATCGTTAAAGTAGGCATCACCAATTTCTTCCATTGTCTTGGAGCCCCCATTAGGTTCGTGAAGATATTCTTGAGCCATCCAAAGTTGAACTAAATCAACCTTTTCAATGATGAAATCCTTTGGAAATATTGAACAATAGGAGAAGCATTTCTTCAAAGATGGATGCAAACGATCAAAACTTACTTTTAGCATAGATAAAATCCCGTTCCCATCTTCTAAATTTGAATTCCATGCATCATTATCTCTGATGGCTTTCCATTCACTTGTTTGACTTCCACGGCTCAATGTTCCTCCAATAATAGTAGCAGCCAATGGCAAGCCCCCACACTTCTTGGCAATTTCCACCCCGATATTTTTCAACTCTGAGGAAATTGAAGTTTGTTTGGATGAAGTGAGAATTGTCTCTTCAATTATTGACCAGCATTCACCATCTGATAACTTATGCATTTTAACAATTTGCATAGAATTTTGCATAAGATTCGTCTTCATCATAGATGCTACGCCTTCATCATGTGTTGTCACCAAAATAGAATTCCTAGCTGTCGTCAAAATTCTTGAGAGACGATAGCTGAAAGCATTCCACTTGGGTTGATCTTTGTCCCACACGTCATCAAGAACAAGAAGAAAAGTCTTCCCTTCTAACACCTCTGCAAGTTCTTGAACCAGTTTGTTGATGCTGCTTGGACGCTCACCATCTTTAATAAAATGTTCATGCATCTCTCTCAAAATTGTTTCGTCATTGAAGTTGTCAAGGACACACACCCAGGCTACTAGATCATAGCGCTTTTCTTCCTTTGCCTTCTTGTATATTGATCTTGCTACTGTTGTCTTTCCAAGGCCCTCCATGCCAACTATTGAAACGCCAGAAACTAGATACTGTTTCCCCCTCAAGTCATCCAGCATGCCAAGAATTCTCTTAATATCATCTCCCCTTCCAAAAACTTTTGAATCACCAAGCACAGAGTCTGTCTTGGATAAATGCATGGTTGTTGAACGAACTTCACGTGACTCCTGATTAAGCACAAGTGCACGCTCCTTTAATTCATCGAAGCGCACATTAATATCTTGTATTTTGTCAAGAATATCAGAAGTGAATGAACTCCTTTTCCTCTTCTTCTCCTTAGGAGTCTCAACATCGCAGCGAAGATGCTCATAATCACACTCGTCCACCACATCCTCAACATCATAACATAGCCTTTGGAGATCTCGTAACAAGATCCTTACAGAGCCATCACTTTCTTTTCCCTGTTTTCGCTCTACATTATTGATCATAGACTGGATAAACTTGAGGGAGTCTCCAAGTTTCTTCAGCTGCGCCTCGTCATCAGAAGAATGTGAAGCTGTCCACCATCTACAAGCACGTGAAATCACTCCGTCACCCAACTTCTCACACAACTTATCTATAATGCGGGCGAGGATGACGTTGGTGACATAGCCAAGACTCATGCTTGGAGACACAGAAAGATCGAGCAAGCAACTAAATTCTGAGACAAAGGAAAAACAGAAGTGTTGTAAGAGGCGAGAAGAAGGGATAAAAGGAGGAATTAAAGAAAGGAAAAGAAAAAGAACAGTGTTTTCTCAAATATTAAATTATTTCTTATTATTATGTTTCCATCCAAGGTTTTTAAAATTGGACCAGTCATTGAACTGTTTTCAAGTTCGATTTTTGGTTTAATCGATTCAATTAGTTGAACCAATGAACCGACCGATTCAAATAACAAGGAAAATTTGATGAGAGAAATAGGTAATTTTGTAATTTCATTAAAATTAAGGGTTAAAATCGGTATAAAAAAAAGAATTGTGAGGGTGAAATTGAAAAAAATAAAAAGAAAATTGCATGAGAAATTGAACCGGTGATTTTTTCGGTTTTACATATTCCACCGGTTTCATTGATTTTGACCAATTTTGAATGGTTTTGACCGATTTTGACCTCAAACGGTTTTTTATGTAAACCAAACCATTTTCATTACTGGTACCGGTCTGACCGGTTCAACCGGCCGGTCCGGTCCGATCCGGTTTTAAAAACCTTGTTTCCATCTCGTGAGTTTTCCCTTTCTCCTTAATCACCGCTCTCTGTTACACAGAAAATCAAATACTGCTACACTCGATCTTATTAACCTTATCAAATTCACGAACAATACATAGAAATCACTCAAGAAATTGTTTGAGTAGCTATCAAATTATACATATTAGTTGACGGAAAAGAGAAAAGTAAGCAACATGAAATAGATACTCTTCTTTTTATCAAAAAAAGAGATGGAATTTTACTAAAATAATAATAACAATGTCAAGCGTCCAATATAAAACAGCCAAGAGTCTCACTTATCTCTTAAGTATTTTGGATGGATTTTATAACCAAACAAACAATACAACATACAAGCAAAAATCAATGAACTTGAAAGGTACAATTGTTATAGTTTAAGCCTCTCTACCAAAATACTAAAGAATTTCCCAGAGCTTTTGAAAGCCATTAAAGAGCAGAAAAACGTAGTCACTTACCAGATCTTAAATGCCAAACCACGGTGGGCTAACACGAGTATTCAGAGACGAAAACGAGAAGCTGTTTTCGAGACTTGAGAACAATCAGCTAAGATGATGGGGGAAGAAGGCAGTGGCGTACAATGACTTTGATGCTTTTTCTTCAATATTTCCTCTTTCTTTCTTTTATTTTCTTTCCTCTTTATCCTCTCATTTCTTCCCTCAATTAAAGTGATTTGACTTTTCAGACTAGCAAACCGCGTACACGTTTCTTCACCTAAATCAGCATTTTTTTTAAAGGTTTTTTGAAAGATTTTTCTAACAGGACATAGATACTCTTATTATCAATTTATTTAAAAAATATATAAAATTAAATATTAATTTTAAT